TTTTCCTCTGGAAATATGTATTAAGTGGTATAAATTGACATAGTAGTCCTTAGAGCCAAAAGTCATCTTTAGCAGTAGATATAAAACTTCTAAAAATATTAAAACAATAAGTGATCTAAATGCCTATTTTTCTTACATTCCCGTTTAAGCAGAGCTTGCTTCTTTAGGCAATCTCAGTGGAAAGAATAAAAGGAGAGGAGAGGGCTATGTTTCAGTTTAGCTTCACTTCAGTGACTGCTGTTTCTCATTTAACAGAAAATCTCTTTCAATTCAGCTCAGTTTCTTGCATTCTTTTATGTCCATCAGCTCTTTCCCAGTCTAAGTAAAAACAGTTTTGTAGGTTGTTGTAAAAGAGATTAAATCACCAGAGCAAATAGTTTGGGCATTTTCCCTTCAACTCCTCCAATTTCTCCTGAGAGACTGCTGTTTTGAGGCACTATTTTTCTCCACCCATTTTTCAGCTTACCTTTTCAGTAAATTAACCAATAAATTAAAACACGTCCGTAATCAGAGCAATAATATTCAGAAATTACCACGTATTTTAAACTTTAAGGGCAGAATTTTACTTTAAATGAGCTATTCTGATTTCCGTGTCGCAGTCATAGAATTTCACTCTATAATTCCAGCGATTTGTTATATGCCCTGTATGGGCTCACATACTTCACAGTAAGACTTCATCTGAAGACTTTTTGAGAGACAAAAGCCATCACTTCCTCTGGTTGCTTGTTTCACAGTTTTCAATTATGAATTTACTTTGCCTGAGGTTCTAGTCCTTGCTGTGTTTGCGTTAAAGAGACTTTAGTACACACACCCTGAGCCAATGAAGTTATTAGTACGCCGACAGTTATCCTATTAAGTTCTTTTTTAGTAGCTCAGCAAGCCAACCTTGAAGTCTCTAATTTACAGGTGTTTCTCTAGCCTGACTCACATTTGAAGCTCTTCTCTACATTCTGTAAGTTCTTCAACATTGTTTACAATTTAAATACTAGAATTAATGAGAACACACTGCAGAATCAAAAATGAAAACATACCAGCCTCAGCAGTGCACAAAGTAATTTTTATATTATCAAATTTATCCTATATTACACAGCATTTGCTGGGAGTTTCTGTTGAGTCATTTACTACCATTATTTTTAAAGCTTTTTGAAAGTCACTTCCTTCCCGGACATAGCGTCCATTCTGTAGTTATAACCTATTTTCCCTGTTCTACAAGAATACATTTGACTACAGCAGCATTAACATGTAGTTTGTTATAATGGCCGATGCTTACCATTACAAGCTATTACTATGCATAATGGCTCTGTCCTTGTCAATGCTTATTAAGCCATAATCATTTTGTCAGTGGCAAATGTTCTGAGTGGTAGTACAATATTTATGTTACATTATTGATAATATTGAAGAACATAATACTTTTCTACCCTGCCAGAAATACTGCCTTTCAAAGACTATTTCCCATTGTTAGCTCCTTCATGAGGTCTCCTAGCTGATTTAAATCCATTTTACATGTGTTCTATTCACAATACTCTGATAATTTGTTGTGTTCTAGCAAAGCCAACAACTTGCATCTAAAATATATATTACATCTGTACAAATACCTTTACGAACATTAATCTTCAAGAATGATATAAAATTCATCTAATGATACTTGTCATCCATAATACAATGCTGACTGTCAAAAGGAATGGAATGCCCTACAAACTTCTCCTTTTCCATTCTTTGCCTGGGATTACTCAGGTTAATCAGCCTATAAGTAATTCCAAACCAATCACAAACTCTGCTATCAAACAAAAACTAGCGATTGAGTCTGGTAGAAAAAGAGCAAATAAACACTTGGAAAAGATCTAATTCACAATGATGGGACTCAAAAATTTGAAATATAATTACTAATATTTATTTCTACTGTGTATATATTACATTTTAAACAAGGTGCAAAAATGAATGCATCACACTAAAGCAAAATTCTATAGGCTACGTTTATATGTGAATAGCACTTAAGAAGCTAAGAATGCAACAAAAATACTGTTAGAAATACTGCAGACAAGACAGGTTATGTGAAATTAGGCAAGAATAATTTTGCAAAAAGTTAGAGTAAGATTTGAAAGCATTTTAAGAATAGAACAAGCTTCTTCCTAAAAAGTTCTACACATTTCAAGAAAAGCTCATTGGAAGCAAACTCACTAAGCTTGTTCTAAAACCAGAACTGTATACAGCCAAAATAGGTACTGTAGATGAAATACAAATTGAACTACTACAGCACTTGTATATGCTATTCAAATGAATATTAGTTTAAAAAAAATTAGTATTAAAAGAATTCTTCATTTTATTTAAGATGTACCTTTCTTTTTCTGACCAGCTTTCAGTTTTATATTAATCCTACTAAACTACTGCCACTTAAATGGCTGTGTGTGATGAAACAAACCTGGTGCATAGACTGAGAGAGAGTATTTTCATATGGATAAAAATAAGTAATACATTTAAGTTGGAGAATTTTGTGGTATTTTTCTGAAATGTCTAAGTGTTCTTTTTCATTATCTGAATACTTACAAAATTGCTGCTGAAAAATAGAGTTAGTCAAATTCTACCCAGATGACACTACGCATCCGTGTATTTTCTCATTCTTTTTGATGAACACCGAGCAGACAATGCAGCCATCTGGTCAGGGAGAAAGAAATTGTGTAAAAATGAGATATGCGTGTGTAAATAAAAGATTGATGAATGAAGCCCTGAAAGCTGAGATGAAAGTGAAGCAGAACAGACAGGTAAATCATTCTGATACTTATGTTAGTGCTGAAATTATGTTCCTCTACTTTCTATTTTTTTTTTCTGCTGACAGCAGTGCAGGTGACAAAAAATACTTTCAATTTTGCTGCTGACACAAGTGCTGGAGGTTAGCAAACTGTTTTAGTTCTATTGCTGAGAAAGCATGCTTTAGTCAGGAAGAAGTGAGAAAGTTTTGTTGCTTCATTTTTAATTACTTGCGATGCATCCACGTACTAGAGTGCTGATGGATGTTCAGCTATGAAGCTCCAACTTCAACACTACCTACAGAGCAATCTAGGATGGCTTACCAAAATTGAAGCTGAGTTTAGAAAAACATAACAGTTCTAAACATGTTCACTTTAACTCAGACACAAAGGGCATAGAGTTTCAGAAGTATTTTTAAGCTAGATTCCTTCCCTGACAAGTCTCTGAATTTTCTGGTGTTAAAGTATGTTTAATTAAAATATTTTACAATATTTTAGGCTTTTAGGCAAGCTTCACCTAAGAGCCCACCAGACTGAAAACTAATTAGGATCTGATTTTACGAAAATCAAATGATACAATATCTAATGAACAATTGGTTTAGTAACCGAAGAACCCTAACTTGATGCAACTCCT